ATTATTATGGGATAAAACTAAAGATGTTCTGTTTTGTGATCTTGAAAAAATTGATTTCAAGCAAAAACCCATTACTAGAAGATATATTCTTTCGACAGTTCACAGCATCTTCGATCCTATAGGAATTCTGTGTCCAGTAACGATTCGTTTGAAACTGTTAATACAGAATAGCTGGAACCTGAAGATTGGTTGGGATGAAACCTGTCCAGAAGATATTCGCCTGGAGTTCAATAAATGGCTTGAAGATTTACATCTGTTGACAGAGATCAAAATTCCAAGATATGTCCAAAGCAATGTCCCGGAAGAAAAATTGAGTTTTCATACTTTTTGTGATGCGAGCAAGTCCGCCTATAGCGCAATCGTATTTCTACGAAGCGAATGTGAGAAAGGGGGTAAAAGTTCATTTGCTTGAAGCTAAAAGTAGAGTGGCTTCTTCAACAAAGATAACGATGCCTCAATTAGAGTTGTTAGTATACTTGATCATAGCTCGTATCACTGCAACAGTGAAAGAAGCGATGGATTTAAAAGGGAATATCAAGTACCTGTTGGACTGACTCCTCTACCGTTATGTTCTGGATCAAGCATGAAAATAACTGGGGAACATTTGTACATAATCGAGTGAAGGAGATAAGAAATTTAACATCAAAGGAACAATGGAAGCATATTCCAGGAAGCGACAATCCGGCTGATCTCCCATCCAGAGGATGTTCCGCTGGAGTTTCTGCTCAGATCCAGATGGTGGGAGGGTCCACCGTGGCTTAAACAGCCTGAAGAAAATTGGCCCGTCTCTGAAATTAAATTAAATATGGAAGACGTTTCTAAAGAAAGAAAAAAGGGAATAACTGCCTTAGCTACCTCAATTGCTCCTAACGAAAAATGGTACTTGCATCGTTTTTCTAAATATTCGAGAATCATTCGGCTGATAGCTTGGATTCTGCGATTCTTTCATAATTCTAGAAATTCCGATCACAAACTGAAGGAAAAATTATCTGTTCAGGAAATAGAAGCAGCTGAGAAAAGGCTTTTCTTAATTGTTCAGAAAGAATCTTTCCAAAACGAATCTACAAAATCAAAGTTGAAAACTCTTTGCATTTTCACTGATAAAGAAGGCTTAATGAGACTGAAGACAAAAATCCTTCGAAGAGATGATACAGATTATTTCGTGTGTCCCATACTTTTACCTTCTGATCATCAAATTGTAGAAAAGTTAATTTTCGAAAGACATACAGTACTTTCACACGCTGGAGTTCAAATTGTTTTGACGGATATTCGTCAACGGTTTTGGATTTTAAGAGGACGCAAAACAGTTCAAAGGGTAATCGCAAAATGCATTCGATGCAAAAGATATAATGAAAAAAAAAAAAAAATCGAAACAGTTCCAGCCCCACTGCCTGAAGATAGGGTCCGAGACGCTCTGGTTTTTGAAGTAACTGGAGTAGACTTATCTGGACCTCTTCATCTAAAGGATGGAAAGAAAAGCTGGATACTTTTATTCACCTGTGCTGTTTATAGGGCCATACATCTTGAACTGATACAAGGACTTTCCACCGAAGATTTTTTGTTGGGCTTCAGAAGGTTCATAGCCAGACGTGGACGACCAAAAACTATGTATAGTGACAATGGTACGAACTTTGTTGGGACGAACAACCTCTTTCTTTCACTCGATTGGAGCAAAATTATGCAAGAATGTTCTATTTTGAAGATTACATGGAAGTTCAATCCCCCCACAGCTGCGTGATGGGGGGGTTGGGGGGAGCGTATTATTCAGATGGTTAAGAAAATTTTGAGAAGAATATTAGGAAGAGCCTGCTTGAGATATGAGGAGCTGTGTACCATTCTCTGCGATACGGAAGCTGTAATCAACGCAAGACCGTTAAATTATTTGTCTGAAGATCCTGAAGATTTAATGCCTTTAACACCCTCTATGTTCATTCAGGATATAAGAACGGTGGGAGTTCCGGACTTAGACCATATAGATGAAGTCAATATCAATAAGAGATATAGATATCAGCAGAAATTACGACAAGATCTCAGAAAAAGATTTAGAGACGAATATTTGAGTCTCCTAATTCAGTCCAGAGATAATAAAGCTACTCGAAAGACAAATATATTTAGGAGATGTGGTACTTGTGGGAAGTGACAACAAAAAAAAAAAAGATTGGACTGGCCATTGGGTCGAGTTATTGAACTATTCCAGAGTCAAGATAATTGTGTTAGAAGTGGCAAAGGTGAAAACAGCTGCAGGTGAATTGATCCGTCCTGTGCAACGACTGTATCCTTTGGAAAGTGATGGACGACGAGAACTTTTTTACCTAAACAAAACCAATTTAACATCCCTGCTAGTAAAGAAATTAACTTTAAACCTCCTGATAAGATAATTAAAACTAGATGTGGTAGAACTATTGTAAAACCTTCGCGTTTTAATTAGTTTTTTTCCTTTTTATGATTATACTAAGTATTGTTTAGTCTCGTTATTAAGTATATTGTATTTTGATTTATGTTCCGCCCACCATAAATCAAAAGGTGGGAGGAGATGTCGCGAGCAACTCAACGATTGTATAAATGCAATTTCTTAAAAAGGTTAAGTTTTTACGGTTTGGCAACATTGTATCTTTTTTTTTTTTTTTATGTTTAGAATAAATGAAGTAAAAAATGCACCATGACTTTGCATTAAGGTGGTGGATGCCTGTTTAAAGTGAATTAATTGGGTGGATTGCCCGTATTACTTGATTATCAGTTTCTTTTAATGGAGTACCGACTGGATGAAAAAAATTCAGGTAGAGTCTCGTAGCAATGGGTTTACCATAAGTCGTATCTCTCTCTCTCAAAAAAAAAAAAAAAAAAAAAAAAAAGCCAAAATCCGTGCAACCGTCTACCAAAGTAGCACCGATTTTTAATATTTAGAAACCATACCCTGCTAAAAAATGCCCCGTGAACCCATAAATGTTTTTACGGGGAATTGCCTACGGGTACCCGTACAGCTCTGTGGGTACCCGTAAGCCAATCCCCGTAAAAACCCACAGACAGAAACCCCAACTGTACGGTACCCGTAGGCCAGATCCCCGTAAAAACCCATAGAAAGAAACCAGTACAGCTAATACTGGTACCCGTAGACCGAATTCCCGTAAACACCCATTGAAAGGAACCAATACAACTATACAGGTACCCGTAGGACAAATCCCCATAAAAAACCCATAGAAAGAAACCAGTACAGCTGTACGGGTACCCGTAGGCTAAATCCCCGTAAAACCCATAGAAAGAAACCTGCACGGCTGTATAGGTACCTGTAGGCGAAAACGTAAAAACCGTAACGGACAAAACACGACTGTACGGTTACGAGTAGGCCCAAAGCTCCATGTAGAACTGTAGGCACCATAAACGAAATCCCAGTAAAAACCTATAAGCAGAAATCAGAGCTTTATGTGTATCCATAGGCCAAATCTCCACAAAAAATGGTTATTCCGTAGGTCTATTACTCATAAAAACCAGCAGACAAAACCCGTACCTATATAGGTACCCATAGAGCAACTGCCTAGTAAAAACAAAAGCAGTCACCTATACAGGCACAACGCCAAATCCTGTAAAAAAAACCACAACACAAAAATACAGACCAATAAGGGTACCTCTTGGAATCAAACTCACTGCACAAAACAGTAGGCAAAAACTCATAAACAAGAACCAATAGAATTATACCGTAGCGGAGTATCCATACACAGAATCGTACATACAACGGATATCCATATACAGAATCCCTATAAAAAACAATACACAAAAATAGAACTGTAAATCAAATTTCCATAAAAACATAAACCAGCAGAAGTACATAATTAGCACTGATGAAATAAATGTACAGAACTAAATTGCGGAGAAAGCACGTAAAGTAATTTAAAAAAAAAAAAACTCAATGCGAATAAATAAAAATTTTAAAATATCTAGAAGCCTACGAGCCCGTCCTTCTTAATGCACGTCGATATTTATAAACATATTACAAAATATTTGTATAAATTCTCTTTACAAAATTTTTAAACTACCTTTATATAATTCTGAAAATAAAATGAATAGAAAGATAATAACCAAAGTCATTGATTCACAACCATCGAATGATATATGTACATATATATATGTAAGAAAAATAAGGAATATGCAAAAGATTAAATTAGGAGCGTAAATTAATTTTCCTTCTCTATTCTAAAAACAGTAATCTTTCTGCATTGCATCATTTGGAGATTAATTCATGTCATATGACTCTTACATAATTTGATGTTGTAAAAGAAACTAAAACTCAAACAGCCAATAGTAATTTTACAGCAGTATTAACTATCAAAGACGAGTAAAAATGCATCGAGAACCAAAATTAACTCGGTCTGAATTAAGGTGTGGTGTGGTGTATTTTAATTATGGCAAAGCACACTAGGGCTATCTGCCTAAGGGGAGGGATGCCTTTCGTGGAGGACTTTCTAAGGGAAACTGGCTCGTATACACGTTACACATGGGGAAAACCACGAAAACGCCCATGCAGCCAGCCCGTTCGCGGGATTCGAACCTCGGACCGAACTACCAGTGTTCAGCGTCTTTACCGCTCGGCCGCTGGTGGCTCGGTCTGAATTAAGATTTCACCCTTAACGTAACGCATTTGCTTTTTACGCTTTGTATTAGCTGGATTGCAGTCTGTCTGCTCCTTGTTTCTTACTACACATTTATCAAAAATGTTAATTTTGGAAAGGCATAAATAACGTGCCAACTTGTTTGTGGCTGCAACATATTTGCTGAAAGAAAAGTTGAATTAAATCTACCTCGACAGCCAAATTTCTTATTCATTGTGGATTGGAGTTTCAACATCTCTAAGCCATCAAAAATTCTTGCTGTCATTACGGATTCAGCTGCTTGTATTCGACTACAGAATCTATTACATATATATATAATATCATTTCATTTGATGGTTGCGAATCATTACTTTTGACTGATATATAATTTATTATTGATTTCATTATAAATATATACATATAGTACTGTACCTCACTGCATATATTGTATTTCAGTTCTTTAATGGGAAAAAATTAACAAGTTATTTATCACATCAGCTTGTTTAACAATTTGATTACCTAATGAGAAATGTATTGCCAAAGGATGGTACTTTCTAGCATCTGCTTAAATTTTTAAGTTACCTACAATGCACTAAACCAAATTAAAAAAAACAAAAACTAGAAGAAACCCAAATTTTCAGGAAAAAGAGAAACATATTAACAAGCAAGCAAAACGAATACGGGACTTGCTAATTAGAAACTTAACATAGAGTTCAAATTTAGCATACTTGCTATCCCCTTAAAGCTCGCTTACCAATGATAGTAACACCCTGCAGCTTACTATGATATACATACACATAGATGTTTTGCGTGGAAGAAAGGATGAATCCAAGAATATAATGTAGTGAAGAAATAATAATATACAAACACTGTGTCGACCCCTAATTACAATACTTAGAATGTTACCTGTATCTCTCAAAAGATAAATGAAACATGAAGACAACATATAATAAACTTAATAGTACCCCAAAATACAATAAATTATATTGTAACAAAATGAATTTTAAAAAAATTTACAAGTTTCAACAAATACCAATTCTCAACGCACAGTTCGGGAATTAAGAAAATATCTCATAGCGTATAATGTTTTATTCCGTATCTCACTTTTAGTGCTATATAATCTTCCACAGATTTTATATAAATAAAATCTATAACCTAATGGGTATTTATAGTATATGTAGTTCTTTGATGTATAAAAGATAAACTTTCGTACTGTAAAAATTCCATCTTATGTGAATAAGTATGAATATACTCATATACACATAATTATACTAAATAACTAATTTAAATGAAACTAAATTCCTATAGAAAAAATGGGGAAAGTGTAGAATCGCCCACTGCTTGGCGTGTTTTTAAGAATTGCACATACTCGGTATCCATGTACACATCGACCTATTTTCACTTAAAAAAAATCTCAGAAAATTGCACAAAAATGCCCATTGTGCACTCCTTTGACTTTATTCACGTACACATCAACCTATTTTCATTTTAAAAGTCAAAAGAAAAGAAAATTGACAAAAATCCAATTCCTTTTTACTTTTGTAAAAAGTGCCAAATAAATAAGTGGGCGATTCTGCACTTTACCCCGAAAAATATATAAAAAATACTATTTACCTATATATATTAATAATTTATTATTACACAAGGTTTTTCATATAATCATCTCAAGGGAACATAAAATTTAATTAAAGCGATGCATTATTGGAATAATTTGAGTCAGTGTTTTAGGTGCAAGTTATTTAGATTTCTATTGTAGAAAGAATACTTGAAATAATGTATAGAAATTATTTTGAACCATAAAAATTCTCAATAGTAAAATTTAAAGTACTGAAAAGGTAGCTATTGTTTTTGACAGTAGATTATATAATATAAAAATACCTCATGCTGAGCATTTTCTGAAATTACAATGCTAAATGAAATTTGATATAGTGCAGTATTTAGCAATAATAACTTTTTGTAAACAAATGTAGCTATATTCGCTTAATTGTAATGACAGTAATTTTAACTGCATTTGTATAAGGCTGTACAGAAGATTTATTTATATGGGTTTTCATCCGCAGAGAACAACCGGATTCTCTGTGGAAGTGATTCCGAAAATAATGTTTAAATATTACTCTAACTATATTTGAAAGCAATGCTATATAACAGTGCCCTT